ACTGGGGAACACTACTCGGAAACAGTGCTCTGGCAGCATGTCAAAGCTCCTGCTTGTTTGGCAGTCTGTGCTCACCTCTCCCACTCCTCAGGAGAGCACAAACTTCTGAGCTCTCCCTGTTGTAAGGCCCTGCACTGGGCAGTTCCTGGGTGTAACCTAGGAATGCATCACGGCCAACCCATTTGATAATCTACTCAGAAAATGGGCACAAAGCTCATGCTGTCAAGGATGAAAGAAAACATGAGTTATTGACACAACCTGCAAAAAACTGAGACTAGGTAACCTGGATTAAAAAAAGAAAAAAACTCAAACAAACCTTTTCCACTGAAATATAACTCCTTCCTTGTTTGGTTCTTCTCACTTTTCAGCTACAAACTGCCCTTGCTGCCTTCAACCCAACAGCCCCCACGGGAGAAGCCACAGAGCTGTCAGGGGACACTGGGAAGAGGCAGGGAAAGGGCTGCCAGTGTGGGATTGTGAGGGTATTTCTGCATCACAAGATGAGGTGCATCCACACTCCTGGCAGCCCCAGCTCCCCACTCACCCCTTCCCACAGCCAGGTCCATCATGCCCTGCCTACACTCACCACTCTCCTGCACACCCTCCACTTGACCCCATGACCAAAAATCAGTGTATTTGGTTCACTCATGGTTTTAAATTTCAAGTTTTATCTTGTCTCCTGCTCACAGGATACTCTATCAGGCAGAATGCTAAGCACTGGTGACATAATTTTACAGTTAAGAAGGGGGATATAAATGGAACTACATATTATATGCTGGTCCAAACCAGAAACCAGAACTCTTATCAAGCTTTGGATCAGATCTTCTAACCACTTTTGTGATTACAGTTACAGACCACTGTGAAGAGAACAAGCTATTAACACCAAAATTGGCTTTGCATTCCTGTCTCTCACTGTATGTTTCACCATTGCTATTTATCAGTGAAAATTAAGAAGGAACAAGCAAAATACCTCATGCCTTCACTAAGATCCACAGACAACTGCCAAAGCTTAGCTCAAACACCAGCATATGGCCTAGAGGTAATACACGTTTCAAACCATTCTCTTAGTGCTGTTCCTTTTTTCTTTTTTTCTATAACCCAACCAAGAGCAAATATATATTATGTATTTATACACAGCATTTAAATTTAGCCTCTGCTGTTTACCTGCTTGGTCACTATTAGTTATTCAAGACTGAAGCTCCAGCTCTACCTGAGGGCCACGCACAGCACTGCACACATGTGGCCAGGGGAGCAGGGACCTGAGATCTGAGCAGGGAAGGACAAGGCACAGCAAACACCAAGGCTCTTATCATGTGAATTTGTAGCATTACAATCTGCAGGCGTGAGTGGTTTTGTGATCCCTGCACGCAACAGCTTTTGTAAGGATCACAGATTTCTGAGCTGGGACATGACCCTGTGGTGAGGCACACGGGCTGTGAGTCAGGAGCTCTGGGGGATGTTCCTCACCCTCCCAAGTGACTCACTCTGAGCCAGAGCCCGTTGCTACTGAAGACAACAGCAAATAACCCACTATTTCTGTGTCAGTGATCAAAGGCCATATGACCATACACAACTCTCCAGGAGTGTAGCTCTGTGAGGTAGAAACCCTCACACAGTTGTTAGAATTTATGCTGTGAATAAAGTGCTGCACACATGCAAAGCACAGCAATGCCACTGTAAAAACAAAAGCACATCGATTGCACATTGCTTCCCCATGCAAAAGGCAGAGGAGTAAGCAGGTCTCAAGGTTGCTTCCAGAAGTACTTTCATCACTCTGACAATCATTTTGCAGCCAGGCTCCCAGAGCCACTCAAAAAGTGGGTAATTTCCTGCGTGAGGGTCGAGATATGCCCCAGAGACACAAGCATCCTCTAAAACAGGTTTGCTGGACAGTGGTTTCAAGGCATGTGAGAATTTGGAAACTTATGCCCTGAAGTTTCAGTCTGTACCAACAGAGCCAAGCAGGGCTCTGGTTTCTGCACTGTCAGACTTAGAAGCAACTCTTTTCTAAAGCACACGGATGATGTTGGTAGGGCTTCAAAGATACAAATCAATCACAGCAAATCACACATTTATAAAATAGGCTGATTAGCTGAATCCGCTGGGAGCCAGATCAGACAAACATTCATCCCCCCATGCACACCATGCTCTCACAGAGCACAGGACAGAGGTCATTCATGCTTACAAGAAACACGTATAATGAACACACTTTGTCTTATTCCCTCATTAAGTAAGATTATTCCAAGCTCAGTTCAATAACATCTCCATTGCTAAGAGGTGTCTTGTCCACTGATGAAATGCCCCATGTAGTCAATTAGTAAAAACCACTTCCTATGATCACAGTGGGTTCCTGACATCCCAAACTGAATCTAAATATTGAGTTTTATTCAAAAGAATTTTACCAAATGCCTAGGTTGTTGTTTCTCTTTTTTTTTTTTTAACATGCACTAAACATACACTGAGCTCAGAATTTAACAGATGTTTTTGTTACTATTATAATCTAATCTTTTCCTGCAGGCTGTTGTAGTAATTTTGCCACTAGAAGATAATAAAAAAACATTTTCTCCCCTGCAGAGCTTACCTTTGGCTGACTCAGCTGAGCAGCTGCAGTTTCCTTTACTTGCTTTGAAATTATTGCATCCCAATTGGGCAAAATATTTCTGCTACTGAGAAACAAGTGGTTTTGGAGAAAATGCCAGAGGCAATAGATCAGATAAAGTCTCTTTACCTTGCTCCAGTTGCATTAAAAGCTGGTAATTTGTGCTGCAGCTTTTTCAAGTGGTCCCACAAATGTTTGCTTTTGCAGCCAGGAAAAAAGAGCTCCTGAGCCTGCCTATCAAATAGCTCTTAAGATTACTGGTGAAACTCAGAGTTTGTATCTCAGTAAGGAATTCAAACAAGGATGTAACAGCTTCCAAAACAAACAAACAAAATACCAACAGAAAGTCAGCTCTCTGTGCAAGTGCTTCATACTGACTGCATGCCCAGCGTGGATCTCAGGGCTTCCCTCGCCTCATGCAACAGTTGCCTGAACACGACTCCACTTCTGATTGAAGAGGGAGAAAGAAAAACAAAACCATCAAATCCCAGGCTGTTGGGCTAACCCAATGCTGTGTTTGGCTGATGTGTTGTTCAGGTGAGCATACTGAGAAACAACAAGAAAAATAAACCAAAGTATTACATCTCAGTAACAAAGACTATGATTAAGATAACATGAGAGCAAATTCAGAATAATTTTAGCACATATGAGAAAAAATGAGTTTCAGCATAACAATCTAGGCTGGTTAGGTCTGAATTAGTCTGCTAAGAGAAATTCTGATGTATTTACTTTAGTGCCTTGTATACTTACATATTTACATAGTTAGATCATGTAAAAATAATTATTTCCATAGTTAGATCATGTTAAAAAAAAATTGTTGAGAATTAATTTCTTAGCTGGGCAGATCTCCCCAGACCTAGTACGCTGCTTGCAAGGTAGCCAGGACAGAGGCAGCTGGTAGCCAGGTTCAACACAAAACAGCTCCCAGCTGCAAGAACGTGTCTGCAAAGGCAGATCAACATCCTTCCACTGACAGATCACTCAGTCCTGCTCTCCTACAGAAAAGGCAGGAGGACAGAAAAGGCCCCACGCTAAAGCCATATCAATAACTTGAGTCTGTGCTCAGCCCAGCCTGCCCTCTGTCCTGAGCTCTCTTCTCCCGGGTTTTGAGAGGTCTGCCAACGACCTGCAGCCCTCTGTAACCCTCCCTCATACAGAGACTGCAATTAACTTAGTCCATGTCCTCGTTCATCTGCTCATCTGACACAAACACAAGTGTGAAAAAATAAGCTCTTGTGGAAACTCCCATGGCTGCCTGAGCACTTTAGCTCCAAGTGCACCATGAGCTTCCCAGCCCACATTATTATTTCCAAAGATAACGAAAACCTGGGAAAAAAAATATTTCTAATACCTTGACAGGTCCATCAGTTCCCATTAAAGATAGAAAAGCTATTACAGAAAGTGAGCAAGCACCTGAATTATAGATCAGCACAGGCCCAGGCAGCTGGGGGTTGTGTTACTGCACCAGACAAGGGCCAGAGCTCGGCTCCCCTGCATCCTGTGGCACCTGCAGTGGGTGCTGGGGAATGCCCATGGCCTCTGCCCACTCATCCCACCACCCTCATGGGAGCGACATGTGGTGGCCTGTGGCCCATACAGTGGGAGAGAGGAATGCAAAGGATATCCCTGCAAAGCCAATTTCAGTGTTAATAGCGTGTTCTCTACACAGTGGTCCATAACTGTAATCACAAATGTGGTCAGAAGATCTGATCCAAAGCTTGGTAAGAGTTCCATTTATATCCTCCTTCTAAACTGTAAAATACTGAGGGCATTTTATCACTGAAATAATCTTTATATGATGTCATGCCTGTGTACCATCCTACGTGACAGAGTATCCTGCGAGCAGGAGACACGATAAAACTTGGAAACTTAAAACCACGAGCGAACCAAAGACACCGATTTGGCGCATCTTTGTGACGCTTGCGAGGTCAAGCGGAGGGTGTGCGGGAGCGCGGTGGATGTCAGCAGGCACATGCAGCCCCGGGGGGCCGGGGGGACCCCGGGAACACCCAGCCATCGGTCACACGCACCCATCGGGCACACAGACCCATCGCACACACGCACCTATCACACACACGCACCTATCGCACACACGCACCTATCGCACATACGCACCCATCGGGCACACGGACCCATCGGGCACGCACCCACCGCACACACGCATCTATCGCACACACGCA